TTTGGCTAAAGCCTTCTGGATTTAGCTGATAACCGTGTGCTCTTTTTAGCACAGAACTTCACGTGGATCATCCAAAATAATGCGGCCCCAACAGACTCCTGAGTGGGAGAGCTGGGAATTCCCTCAGCGGTTTGTGATTTCTGAGCACGGCTCTTGGGGAGCCTGAGCTGTGGCAGGTGCACGTTTTGGTGTGGATTTCCAGCTTTTGTGGAGTGCATCTGATGTTTGTCAGAAAATCAGGTGCCCAAAGGCAAGGAAAGGGGTGTCTTTAGATCTGTAGAGAGTGTGTAATTAACATGGAGATGAACCCTGCGGGTTGTCACGAGCTCCTTGCAAATCTCCCACCTCATGATTTCTGTAGGGCAGAGCCAGTGCCAGGCTCTGCTGAGGGAAGGCCTCAGAGAGCAGCTGTCTGTGCTCATGTGAGCCGTCTGCGTCACCCTGGCACGGAGCGAGAGCCCCTGTGCTGGTGCTGTGGTGACAGCTGAAGAGGTTTTTGGCACCATGTGTCCAAGGGCAGCTGCTAAAGTCTTTTGTTTCTCTTGACAGGAAGCCCAGAATTCCCACGTCTACTGGGTAAGTGCCTTTTGTATCACGGAACAGCTAAAGGGAAGGAGTTAATTTGCTGTGGCATCACTGCAGCGTGATAAGCTTTGAGGGAGAGTAGCCTGGCAACTGTTTCCCAGTACCAGCTGTAGGTTATCGACTGGTTGCAGCCGATTCCAGCTCTTGATGAGAATCTTTCTTCTGCCCAGTGGCGCTACTGCATTCGCCTGGAGAACCTGGACAGTGAGGTGGTGCAGCTGCGAGAGCGGCACTGGAGGATATTCAGCTTGTCTGGCACCCTGGAGACAGTCCGGGGCCGTGGCGTTGTAGGAAGGGTAGGTACCATGCAGCCTTTTTTTTTTTGGGAAACACAGTTCTTTGTTGGAGTTCTCTCACTTGGTTGTGTGGATTTGCCAGTACATTGCTCAGTGGGCACTTGAAATAGATGGAGTGGGAAGCTGGCAGTGAAAAAAGCCACGTGAGCTTTTCATCTGTTGTTTGTCTGCATGAACTGAAACTTCACACTGAGTATTAGAGGATCATAATAAATGACTGGTGGTTGGAAAACTGGAATAATAACAGGATTCTGGTGCTACTCAGTGGGCAAATTGTTTGCTGTGTAATTGGGAGAAATGCTGGGGTGTAGGTCTCTGCTTGATTTTGTTTCATGCTATATAAATTTCCTGTTGTTGCCTGTCTGTGGTAGAATTGCTGATGCCCAGTGGTCTCTTGTTTCCTCAGGAGCCAGTCTTGTCCAAGGAACAGCCAGCATTTCAATACAGCAGCCACGTCTCCCTGCAGGCATCCAGTGGTCACATGTGGTAAGAAAAGAAGCCCTTATTGCTGCAGCAGTGTTTTGGGTGTAGGACCCCCCAGTAGTGAGCTGCAGTGCAGTTTGCAGCCTGGGGTTGTGGCTGAAGGCTGGGTGGAATTGGACTGGACAGGGCATAGTTGGTAGCTAAAATCTAATGAGCTTCTCTCTAGCTGTAGCCTAGTTAGTGATAAGATGATCTGTTGGTTCTCTGCACCAGGAGGGGTTCCAGGATAATTTCTCCTCCTGCTGTGGTCTGTGCTAGACTGGATTTAAAGACATGAAGCAGTTTTTCCTTTTGTCCTTGGTGCAAGAGCCAAGGCCTTGTGCTGGTGATTCCCTCAGCAGCAGGGGTGTGTGCTCTGGTACCTCCTTTCTTGAGAGAGGATTGGGCTTTAACTCCATCTCTGTGCACTTCTGTGTCAGGAATTGGCATGCAAGGGTTTTCCCAGTTTAGACCAGGTAAGGGCTTCAGTCTAACTGGTGTTAAAGTTTCTTCTTCTGTAAGTGCAGGGAGGGAAGTGCCCAGCTGAGTTCTTTTCCTGTGTTTTTGGGTTAAAGCAGCTTCCCTTTATTTGCCTTTTGGCTGGGTTGGCACATTTAGTGCCCCCTCTGTGTGGACAAGGATTGCACAGCCACCTCTTGCCTTCTGTATGACAGGTCCTTCTGCGTTTTTTTTAAGGAAATCTCCTTCAAAGTTTGTTTGCATTTGAGTTGTGAAAAGCAAGAGAGAAGCTCTTTGCATATAGGGCATACCTTGTTTGCCATGTGAAGTGTTTTGAATTGCCTGAATGGATGCCCTGGGGAATAAAACCAGCTGGTCTAGTAGTTTTTTCCTCTCTGCATACATCCTGAAGACAGAGACAAAGGTTCTGCAGCTCAGAAGCTGCTCAGCTTGACTTCTGGTGTTCACTTGTGTCCTCTGTCCTGAGAACCTGTTATTTTATCTCCACAACCCTCTTGTTGTGTTCTGCAGGACAGTTGTCTGTAGTTCAGAGCAGTAAACAAATGGTTGTACAAGGACAGGCTTTGAAATGCAAAGCTGAAGCTGTTCCAAATTACATCTGTGATGGGATTTCTTAATGTCATAGACAACCAGTGGAGCTCCTGCCAAGAAACACAAATCTGAATTTACGTGTAACCAGTCTGTAAAAATAGCTCAGATGGCTCTGCCTGCTGGGGAGTGGCAGCTGGGTAAACACCACTGCAGGTGCATGCAGGGTGCTGGGCTCCTGTGGGGTGCAATCATCCCAGCTTTGTGCAGGAAATGTGTTAGGGATGTGCTGTACAACTGCCCAGGAGTCCTCCACCAATGAGTTACCTTAGCAGCAGATGTTTGCAGCTGAGCCCATGTCCTTGCTGCTGGAGCAGCCTTGCAGTTGCACCCCCAGGATGTGGAAGAGCTCAGGTTTACCTTTCTGCTGATGCTCCCTAGGTGTGTTTGTCCCTGGCCTCAGTGTGACCTCTGCCATTACTTTTGCAGGGGCACTTTTCGCTTTGAGAGGCCCGATGGCTCCCACTTTGATGTCCGAATCCCACCCTTTTCCCTGGAGAGCAACAAAGATGAGAAGACCCCTCCCTCCGGCCTTCACTGGTAGATCAGAGGAGTGCCCAGAGCCACGGGGGCCTGTGTGTGCTGTAGACCTTTGCCTCCCCTTTATGCTGCAGCCAAGAACACAGAGCTTTTAAACATTTTAAACCATTTTTGTTTTAACTGTTGTCTGCCAGGGAGGCTTTTTTTGGAACTTTACTACTGGCTCTTCTCTCAGGCTGCTTGTAAAACATAAGCTGTGTTCCAGGTAACCCTTCCCTCTGTGGCACCTGCTGGGATTTTGGGGCTGGGGGGATGTAGACCTGTGCTGCTGCAGAAGACTGGCCCCCCTCAGCAGGCCTGGACCCTTTCCAATGTGTTGTGACTTCTCTGCAATGTGAGGTTTCTCTAATAAACTGGCCCTTCCAGTTGCAACCAGTCTTCCTTCCTCAGCCAAGGCCGTGGCTTTGCATCCGGCCTGTCCCAGCTTGTTGCTCCCCCCGTGTGGAACAGGAATGTGAGCTCAGCTTTCCTGCAGTGCAGCTGCTTTTTGGGATTCAGCCAGGGTTGGAAAACCTGTGAGCTCCACTCATGGCACAGCTTGTCTGGGCTTTGTGCTGTGATACAGAACCTGTTCTTTTTGGAGAAGAGGGTGCAGAGGGGACAAGGTGGGTGTCATGGTGCTGTCACAGTGTCCTGTGTGTGCAGAGTACAGGTATGAGGGGAGCCCTTCCCCTGCCAGGGCTTTGCTTTGCAGGGATTTCCATCTCAGCTGCTCACACTGTGGCTGCATCCATATTTCCTTGGTAGTTTCTGCTTGTTTTCACCTGGAATGCTGTGAGGCAGTGCTTGGCTTTCTGCTCCTGCTTGCTCTGCTTGGCAGGTTGTGATTTTTTGGTGTCATGGGCCCTGCAGGACTGTGAAATCCCTGTGAGATGACACTGTTTGGATGTGTGGGAGTAGCTCTGAGCATTGCAGAGATCACCAGCCCCGTGGTGTGGGAGCCTCCTGGCTGCCTCTGGGCATCCAGACTTGTGCATGACTCTGAGGTAGGAGTATTTGCCTTTGTGGTAATCCTAGGAACAGTTCCCAACCTTCCTCCTTTCCCTAGTCTTGCTTAAATGACAAGGTGTAACTAACTCGTGGGAGGTTTTCCTTGATTTAAAGTTCTTCCCTGTTCCCTGGAACCCCCTGTGAGCAGCCTGCTTGCCTTTGGCTCTGCAAGGCAGAGCTGGCAGTGCTGTGGGCAGGCAGCCTCGGGGGGAGGCTCTCGTGCGGTCCCACAGCTGAGGATTCCTGTTTAGAGAGGCTCAATCACTGCAGTGTTCATCTTCACCTCTCTCTTCAATCCTGTGTCTTCCTTCCTCTCAGGTAGTAACGTGCTTCAATTTAGAATTTCAAAGATTTAAACAGCCAGTCTGCTTTTAGGGGTAGGAAAGGATCCCTAAAGACCATCCACAGCTGACAACCCCACACCGCTGCTGTCAGGCTGATTTCCTCTCAGGAGGAGGAGGCGGGAAGGTGCCTCGAGTTGAGAGGCAGCAGGAACCTGCTTCTCCCTTCCCCGAGCTGCCCTGCCCCTCCCGCGGCTTGCTCCAGCTTTCCTGGCCATTGCAACACCCCTGCGGCTGTTCAGCCTCGCTGCTCCGCCCCGAAGGGCCGCGCGCTGCCGGGGCGGGCTGTGCCGGGGGCTGGGGCGATGTCCCGTCGGGGCTGCCCGGGCACGGGCATTCCCGGCTGGACAGTCATTGCCGAGGTCACACACCGGGCCGCGGGAGGAATGTTTCCACTCCAGCAGCCTTTGCCGCCCTGTCCCGGCGGCTGGGCGCGATGCCAGAGGCTCGGCAGGGCCTTTCCCCAACCGCTTCATCCCGCCGGTCCCTCCCGGAGCGCGGCCGCGCCCCGTCCCGTTCTCTGTAAATACCTGTACAAAGAACCAACCAATAAAGCGCTGAACGAACGCCTCTGCCTCCCGCCTCTCACTGCCCGGCGGCGCTACGGCCGCCAACCCCCCTGCCCTTTCCCGGGGCTCCTTTCCCGGGGTTCTGGTCCCGGTCCGGTCCGGTCCGGTCCCTCTCGCTGCCCACGTGGATCCCCGCAGTCCCGGTCGCACCGGAAGTGACGCGCGGCGGCCGCGCCGAGGCGGCGGCGAGGCGGCAGCATGGTGATGGCGGCGGTGGGCGCGCACCGGCCCGGGCCGCTCAAGCAGCAGAACAAGGCGCACAAGGGCGGCAAGCACAGCGGCTCCTCGCAGCGCCGCGCTGGAGGTGAGGCGGGACGGGCGCCCCGCGGGGTCCCCGCCGCCCTCGGCCAGCCCTGACCGTTCTCATTCCCCCCCCCCCCCAGGCCGCGTCCCCGTCAAGGCCCAGCCCCGCCGGCGGCTCCGCGACCTGAGCAGGGTGGACCGGCGGCATCAGGCGCTGCAGCTCCGCCGGCAGCGCAAGGAGGCGGTGAGACAGCGGGGAAACCGGGCCGGGTGTTGCGGGGGAGCGGGAAAGGCTCGGTTCGAGTCTCTGCCGGAGGGGGCTTGGGTTGGGTCTGGGTGGGGGCGATGGGAACGAGCGGGGCCGGGCCGGTTCGGGTCAAACGGAGCCTTACGGAGCGGGAGCGTTCGGGCTGCGGCGTGGGGGAGCCTGGCCTTGGTCTGGGGGTGTGAGGGGAGCCTGGCCTTGGTCCGGCTCGGCACTGAGGCGCTGCCCGCTCCCCGCAGGTGCTGGCGGAGAAGCGCAGCCTGGGCAGCAGGGACGGGCCCCCGCACCTCGTGGTTGTGGTGCTGCTGCACAGCCGGGCCGCGGCGCAGGACTCGCTGCGGCTGCTGCAGGGGCAGGACTCGGCCGCTGTCCGCGCCGATGAGGGCGGAGCTGGTGGCTTTGCCCTGCTCTGCCCCCGGCTCAAGCAGCGCTGGCGCTTTGTCACAGCCCAGCCAGGTGAGGAGGAGCCGCTCTTGGTTGGGTTCTTGCTTCTGGTGCCTCTGGCAGCCCCACTGATGGAGGTGTTTTGGGTGCAGGGGATCTCCACGCTGTGTTAGACCTTGCCAAGGTTGCTGACTCGCTGCTGTTCCTCCTGGACCCTGTGGATGGCTGGGACAGTGCAGGGGAGCACTGCCTCTCCTGCCTCTTTGCACAGGGGCTCCCCAGTTATGGTGAGAAGTGTTTTGTGTTTTTGGGGGTGCTTAATTGAGATTGAATCACAGTAATTAAATTTCAGGGCTCTGCCACCTTCAGGGAAAAGAATTTTTCTGTTATGTTGGGGTGGAAGTTCTTTGTTTGTGGCCATTGCTCCTTGTCCTGTTGGCTCTGCCACCTTCAGGGAAAAGAATTTTTCTGTTATGTTGGGGTGGAAGTTCTTTCAGTTTGTGGCCATTGCTCCTTGCCCTGTTGGGCACCACTGAGACCAGTGAAACTCCCTTTGTACCTGTGGTGGCAATCTGCCCATTTGGGCTGCTGCCATCCAAATATTTGCCTGTGTTTGGTACAAAGAACAGCAGAAGGTTTAGGATTTCACCTGAGCTCTGTTCTCTGCTCACCAGCTCTGGCAGTCCCGGGAGGCTCTGACCTGCCCCCTAAGAAGAGGATAGATGCCAGGAAGAAGCTCTCCAAGTGCATTGAGAAGCGTTTTCCCGAGGCCAAGCTGTTCCCCCTGAACACGGAGCAGGAATGCTCGCTGCTCCTGAGGCACCTGAGCTCCCAGAAGCAGAGGCACCTGGCGTTCCGTGCCCGCCGCGCTCACCTGCTGGCCCGTGCTGCTGAGTTTGTGCCCAGCCAGGACAGCCAGCTGCTGGGCACCCTGAAGGTGTCAGGCTTTGTCCGGGGACACACCCTCAGCGTGAACAGCCTGGTGCACATCGTGGGCCACGGGGACTTCCAGCTGAGCCAGGTGGATGCTCCCCCTGACCCGCTCTCCTTGAACCCACGGGTGCTTAAAGCACAGAAGAGGAGTCAGGACATGGAGGTGCAGGTGTGTGGGGTGAGAGCTCTGCCAGTCCTTGTAGAACACAAGGTTTCTAAACTCTCATTGGGGAAAATACAGCTGGGGGTATGTGGGTGAGGAGAGGGAAGAGGGAATTTTGTCTGTGCTCTGCTGCTGGGCTGAGGTTCTGTGCCTGCAGGGTGTCATGGAAGTTACATCACAACATCCTGAAGGGAGTTTCACCTGAGACTCACTGCAAGCTTTTAGGTGTGTTCAGATCTAGGAGCTCTGCTTTTCCCCTTCAGGAGGACTCTGGAAATGGTGCTGTTGAGATGGAGGAAGATGTCAAGGTGCTGATGAAGGCAGATCCAAGCAAGCAGGAGTCTCTGCAGTCAGAAGTGGTTCCTGATCCCATGGAAGGGGAGCAGACGTGGCCCACTGAAGAAGAGCTGCAGGAAGCAGAGGGTGAGCAGAAGCAATAGTTGTTATCTCTTCCTTGTTCCTCTTAGGAGGGTTGTTAGAAACTTCTGTCACAGGGTGGCTGTGAAGAAACATCTTAGTTGGCATGGCTCCCATCCCCAGTCCCATGAGGTGGCTAGCAGGTTTGCCTGGCAAGTTAGCAGGTTCTGACTGTCCTGACAAATTCTGTGCTGGGAAAAAAGCAATTCTAGTCTAGATCTGGTTTTGGCTGTTCTGGTGTAAAGGTTGCAGAGGGGAAGGAGAACTGTTCCTGTACTAACCACTGCTGGGAATCCTACAGATTCTCTGAAGGCAAACAGGAGGGTGGTGAAGGTCCCCAAAGGCACATCCAAGTACCAGGCTGCCTGGATTGTGGATGATGGAGAAGAAGGCAGTGAGAAAGATGATGATGATGATGATGAAGATGATGACATGGATGATGATCTGATGGAAGAGGCAGTTTCTCAGGTACCTCCAAGAGCTGATAGTACAGGTGATCTCCAGGCCATTATTGCATGTTCTGGAAAGATTCTGTCCTTCCAGCTTGCTTTGTCTATGCCAGGGCATGGTGCAGAGCCAGGACTTGCCTGGGTCTCCACTGTTAAATCCCTGCATGTATCACATTGCTTCTTTGGCCTTTAGACCCCAAAATGGTGGGCTGGGGTCCCAAATCCCACAGTGTGAGCACACCCAGTGCTGCATGCACAGCTCTGTGTGCTCACAGGCTCTGTGCTGCCCTGTGCCAGGAGGGGGAGAGCAGTGAGGAGGAGGCTGGGGAGGAGGAGGAGAGCGAGACCATGACCGTGTCCGAGTGCCTGCGGGATGAGCAGTACGACGAGAAGATGGAGGAGGATGAGCAGATGCTGGAGAGATACAAGCAGGAGAGAATGGATGAGATGTTTCCAGATGAGGTGGACACGCCACGGGATGTGCCTGCCAGAGTCAGGTAAGAAATGGGATGCTTTGCTGGGGGAGGAGCTGGAAGGTGCCTTTCTGTTTAATTTGGTGAGGAAGCCTGTGATGTCTTAGCCGTGGTGTCTGAACCTGGCTGAAGGACTCTTGTGAAGATTCTTTTTGGCTCTGAGGCTTCCAGAGCAGGCAGGGAGAGCTGGGTCCTGACCTGGGAGAGAGAAGAGGATGGCCCTGAGGCAAGGAGAGGTTGTTTGGGGATCTGGCTGCTGGTTTTAGCTCTTTTTGCATCAAAAAGAGCTGAGGGCTAATGTTTGCTTTGCACCCTTTGTCCTCCCTGAGGGGGTGAGGCCCTGCAGACCACAGCTAGTGGTGAAGGATGGGATTCATCTCAGTTGGTTGAAGTAATTTGTCTTTCCTGCTCTCTGTTCTCAAGGTTCCAGAAGTACAGGGGGCTGAAAAGCTTCCGGACTTCTCCTTGGGACCCCAAAGAGAATCTTCCAAGGGATTATGCCAGGATCTTCCAGTTCCAGGACTTCTCCCGAACCAGAAAGAACCTCTTCAGGCAAATAGAGAAGGAGGAGACTGAGGGAGCTTCGGTAATTCCCTGTTGCTGATCTCTTTCCCTGTTGTGTTCCTTTGCTCCCAGTAGGAGTGACTTTTCAGGGAGGTGGTTGGGTGGATCTTTCAGCCAGCTGGTTCTTAGCATGAAGCCCTAAGTTCAGACAGTTTTCTACTGGGTTCCCTCCCTAATCCAGGCACATCTGACGCTTTTTTTTTGTTGAGAGAAGCATTCACCACTGTTTTTGTCTTGGCAGGTGGGCTGGTATGTTACACTTCATGTCTGCAATGTCCCTGTCTCAGTGATGGAGAGCTTCAAGGAGGGGAAACCCCTGGTCCTGTTCTCACTGCTTCCCCATGAACAAAAGGTGAACACAAGGGATATACCTTGGAGGGATGTGCAGCTCCCTGTTCCTTCAGGCTGCATGGCTTGGGGAGGGTTTGGGCTGAAATCTCCCCACATTGCTCCTGTTTCAGAGCAGGTTGAAGCACGCAGAAACTGCTGGGGGGGTTAGCAGAAAGTGTCTGAGCCTGGCACTGGTGACCAGTGACCTTTTGGGATCCCATTTTTGAGGACATTTATCCCTGCTGCAATGTCCTGTTGCTTTCTGCTGCCCACCATCCCCTGCCAGCAGCCCCTGACTGTGCTGCCTCTTCCAGATGTCTGTGTTGAACTTCCTGGTGCGTCGGCATCCTGGCAACAGCCAGCCAGTGAGGGCCAAGGAGGAGCTGATCTTCCACTGCGGGTTCAGGCGCTTCCGAGCGTCCCCCCTGTTCTCCCAGCACACCTCAGGTTTGTCAGGGACTGGCTGCAGCAGGAGTGGGGCTGGGAATTGTGGAGCAGGAAGCCTGTGATGTCTTAGCCATGGTGTCTGAACCTGGCTGAAGGATTCTTGTGAAGACTCACTCCTAGGCTCTGAGGCTTCCAGGGCAGGCACTAAATCATGGGGAGTAGAATGGCTTGGGAAGGGTGGTTCACTGATCCAGGCAAGGTCCAGCTTCCATGCCAGAGGATCACCTTCATTCCCAGGTACTCAGTGCCAGCAGAGGAGGGGTGTGTGTTGAACAGGGAAGAATGAGCTCTGGGGTTTCCCACAGCTCTGAGGGCTGCTCTTGACCTTTCTGTTCTGTGCTAGCTGATAAGCACAAGCTGGAGCGTTTCCTGCGCCCAGATGCTGCCCTGGTGGTGACTGTCTACGCTCCCATCACTTTCCCTCCTGCCTCAGTGCTGCTTTTCAAACAGAGAAGTAATGGTGAGTTGATAAATGCTGAGGAAGTGATGCCTGGGAAACAAACTGTCCCCATACCCTGCTTACAAGTGCATCTCTCCAAAAAGCATGACTTGAAAAAGCTGTTCCCTTCCTGCTGTTTGAGATGAGCTCATCTCCCTCCCTGTTGTCACTCGTCTGTCCCTGCTGTGGGGTTGCTCTGGGCCTGCAGCCCTTTGGGGAAGGGGTTTGTGGTGGGGAGGGGGTGATGGAGGCACCTGCCCTGGTGCATTGGTGACTCTGCCTGGCAGGAATGCACGACCTCATTGCCACGGGCTCCCTGCTCTCCGTGGACCCCGACAGGATTGTCATCAAGCGCCTGGTGCTCAGCGGCCACCCCTTCAAGATCTTCACCAAGACGGCTGTCGTGCGATACATGTTCTTCAACAGAGGTACAGCTGGTCTCTGCTGGGAGCAGGGGCTCTGGAAGTTCTGTCCCTGTGCTTGGTGCAGCACAGCCTGTTCCTTACCTGCCTTTTGTGTTTCCATCTCCAGAGGATGTGATGTGGTTCAAGCCCGTGGAGCTGAGGACAAAGTGGGGACGGAGGGGGCACATCAAGGAGCCATTAGGTAGGTTAGATTTGGTGTTTATCTCTGTGTTGCTGGCATGGTGTGATCCTCCTGTGCCCGAGAGACTGCTAATGGCCTTTTCTGCCCTCTGCTTAGGGACCCATGGGCATATGAAGTGCCACTTTGATGGGCAGCTCAAGTCCCAGGACACGGTGCTGCTGAACCTCTACAAGCGTGTTTTTCCCAAATGGACTTATGACTCTCATGTCCCAGAGCCTGTGCCGTGGGTGAGGAGTGAGAGTGCACTGCCAGAGCAGGAGGTGGAGATGGAATGAGTGTCCAGCATGGCTGGAGTTTGTGCCTTGGCTCCCTGGATGCTGTTGGCCCGTGCACTGTGAGGACAGCACTGATGCCTTGGACGTGTTACTGCTGGGGTCTGTACAGGGGCAGCTGCATCGCCAGCTGCTGCTCAGGTACCAGCTATAGCTATTTATTTTAATGGAAAATGTCAAAAATGCCTAAGTGCCTCTGTCGTGGTGGTGGCCAGGAGGCTGTGTGCACCCCTTGTCCACTGAGCCCACTGGGATTGTTCCAGTCCCTCATGCCCTGCCACGTGGGGTGTGTGGGATTTTGCTGTGTGGAGGAGTTTGCTGGCAGTTCCTGTGATGCTGAGAAAGAAGAGCCAAGTAGCAGCTGGGGAGGGTGACTGAGTGCAGCTCTCTGGAGGCCTGGGCCAGAGCAAGGCAGCTGGGGAGGGGAGAACAGGCAGTGCTTTGTTTCCAGGCCCCCCACAGAGACCAATGCCAGCTGCCCTTGTCCCTCCACAAAAACTCCCAAACGTTCAGACTCGATCCGTTTTTAATAGCGCACAAATTCAGGGTGAGGTTTTCATTCCATGAAACACCACTCCATCCTCATTCTGTTTTCCCAGAGAGGTCTGTGAGCCAGGTCAGGGATCTCAGGTCCACATTTCCCCCACACAGCACGACGCAAACGTTCTGCAGGTCCTGGGAGACTGCCTGGAACTGCTCCGAGAGCACGGCCGCCAGTCCCACGCCTGCTGTTGGCTCAGCCAGCAGCTTCATCCTTTCCCACACCAGCCACGTGGCTCGCTGTCGGGACAGGGCAGCAGCTGTCAGCTCAGCAGCCAGCACAGGCTGCTCCAGGGCATCCCTGCAGCACTCTGGGAAGGGAGGGCAGAGCTCCCAACAGCCCTTTCCAGCTGGAGACAGCGTGGGTGTCACAGCTGCAGCGGTGCACAGGGACTTGTGCTGCTCTGGGAGTGTGTCGGGGTGAGAGCACAGGGGCAGGGCAGGGGTGGGCTGCCTGCTGGCAGCTATCGTGAGAAGGGAGCTGGGAGCCTTTACCTTGATTTCTTCCTCTGAGACTGTCAGGACATCATCAACCAAATCCCTGATGATGGGCCACGTGTTGGGCCCGATGCTGGTTTTCACTGCGTCTGCGATGGTGTCCCGGGGCTGGAGGTTGGGGGTCAGCTCCCCTCGGACCTTGGACTGGTAACAGTCATCCACGTTGCTTGGCTCAGCAGCAAACACCTTCACATCTGGCCTCAAAGCCTGGGGAGAGCAGGGGGAGCCACTTGGGTGACATCAATTTGTGCCTGTCCCCTGTTTTTGTGTGTGCAGGGCAGGCCCTGCTGCTGATGCTGCCATGCAGACTTCCACTGCAGGGTCTTTCTGTTTCTAAAGTTAAAAGCTGCTGCCTGCCTTGAGAGTCCTGCCCCTCCCACAGGGAGATTCCTGGATGAGCTGTTGCCTACCTTGATGGCGACTGCTATTCCTGCAACCATTCCTCCACCTCCAACGGGAACCACCACTGCATTTACCTGGGGAGCCTGTGCAGAAAGGAAGTGTGAGGGCTTCTGACGCTTTGTGTCCCCCTTTTTGGTGTGCCCCTGCAGGGGCTGGGCTGTGCATTTCCCTCACCTGCTCCAGCACCTCCAGGGCGATGGTGCCTTGCCCTGCAATCACTGCCAGCTCCTGGTTGGGGTGCACCAGGACTCCTCCTGTCTCCTGGACTACACTGGCTGCTGTCTCAGCTCTGGACTAAGGGAGAGCACAGCAGTCACCTCTCACTGTGGCTGGGCATTGTCCCTGGCCCATCTCCCTGTGCCTTACCTCGTCCGTGGGGTCACATGGCACCAGTGTGGCACCATAGGCACGAATGGCATCCTGCTTACACTGCGGGGCAGTGCGGGGCACCACGATGTAGGCAGGAATCCCTGTGGCATGAGCGGGGAAGTCAATCCAACAGCCCAAGAGCCACAGCAGGCAGTTCAAACTGCAGGAGCAGGCAATGCTGAATGGGTTCAGGAGAGGGATGTCCATCCTCTCCAGTGGAACCAGCTCTGCATTGACCCCGTGCCCGCCGCTCGGGGGTACAGGTTACCTTCTGCCTGGGCAGCGCAGGCCAGCGCCTGGCCGTGGTTGCCGCTGCTGTGTGTCACCACAGCGCGGGGCAGCTCCCGGCCCGTGCGCTGCCTTTCCTCCAGCAGGCTCCGCACCGCGTTCAGGGCACCGCGGATCTGCGGAGAGCGCGGGGCTGTGTGTGCTGGGCTCTGCACAATACAGCCTCCTCCTCACACCGCTCCCCGAGCCCTGGGCAGCACCCAGCAGCCGGTGGATGTCGGCGCAACGCGAATTTCCCTCTGGCAAAAAGCGAACTTTGCCCCGGGGCTTCGCAGCGCCGCCATCCCCGCGCACCTTGAAGGATCCGGTCTTCTGCAAGAGCTCGCACTTGAAGAGCAGCCTCCTGCCGGCCATGCGGTCCAGCGCGGCGCAGGTGAGCAGCGGGGTGCGGTGGACGCGGCCCCGCAGCCGCCGCTCCGCGTCCCGCACCTCGCCCAGCCCCAGCGCGGCCATCTGCGCGGCCATGTGCGCGCTCCCGTGAGCGCCTGCGCCGCCGGTTTGTCCCTGCGCGGCCGCCGTCGGCGCCGCCCGCCCCCCGGCGCTGCCAAGATGGCGGAGGGGCTGGAGCGCGTCCGCGTCTCGGCCGCCGA